CTGCACCATTTCTTTCCGGACGACATGGCCGCAACCGTACCGGTCAGCAATACTGTGGCAGTGTGTAAGAAGAGCGACGTGGGTGGAGTAAAGTAATCTTTGCGATCTCGCTCGTCAACGTCGACCACGGCATGGTGTCTGGAGCTCATTAGTCCACCAGCCGAAAACTTTTCCGCGATGATCCACGGAAACTCACAATGGGTTGCGACACTTGGCCCGTGATCTTCTGAGATGTTTGCTCACTTCCTTGCCGACACAGTTCTTGAGCTCGAACAGCTCGTTCTCTCGACCTTCATTATGGGCCATGGCGAGCAAGGCATCTCGGTCACTGGGATCAACATGCCAGAACATGGGGCTACGCAGGTGGTGGATGTCGAAAGCTGTGAACAGTGTCTTCCAGCGGTTCATGAATTCATCGCCAGTGCCGTCCAGGACCAGGGTTGAGTATTTGGGCGGCTCCTTGTCATGAGCCATGGCCTTTTGGGAAACACGTCCATTCCGCCTGTTCTTGAGAGCCATGCGTCGACCATGCTTCTTGACCCAGTGGTACCTCTGATGCTCGTCATCGGTGAAAAGAGCGGAAGGCGAATGCTCGCAAAGACGTGAGGCCACTGCCAGACCGCAGGGTCCGGCCCCGACGATCAGGACGTCGTAGATGTCAGGTGTGTGAAGATCAGCCATGTTGAGACCAACTGAAACTCGGCAAGAGGGCAGAGAGAATACTGGCAGGTACAATAAAATATTCACTGCGTTGACGAGAAAGATTAGGGTATTCTACTGGAGTGGCAGTCTTGCTTGATATATGAGACAGGCCGCAGCAATGCGCCTGGCCATCTTCCATCCAGAAGGCATCCAAACACAGCGCGGGGTCACAGAGCCGGCCACCTTGATGGCCAGGCCCGCGGCAATGGACACCTCATATGGCAAACAAGCAAGCAAGCAGCATGTAGATAAAGCGCTTTGTGTATGGTCGAGCTCGGTTGCTTGTGGTGTTAGTGCGAATTGTTCGCAGAAACGGCGGGGACCTTGATGGCCTCGACGGCGGTCCGATGCTGGACCCTGCGGCGGGGGTGGGGAAGAATGATCATGACGTTCTTATGAGCATGGTGCGATCTCTGCATTTTTTTTTAGGAGGCTCAGCTTGGTCTGTGTTCTTGTCGTTGTTGTGTAGTAAAGGGTCAATCTCATCGAGCTGTTTGCGAGCTGTCTGATTCAGGGGGAAAGTAGGTTCAAGTAGAAGTAGGACATGACACAGTGACGAGGGACGCTGAGGATGCTGGACGGATGGTCTCAATTTTCTTCTTGTTGTCTTCTGATTTCGAACTCGACAACAGGGAGATTCGATCATCATTCCAGCAATTGATTCGCGCATAGCGAATGAAGGCGACGATGCTTCGACGAGATCCAAAGGTGGTTGTTTGCTTTACTGCAAGATAACCGACAGCTGCATGGGAAGGACCGTGCTACCGGCTTCCCGAATCTGGCAGCTCTCGAGCACGAGCCTTGCGCAGGTACTGTTCGTCCCTCCTGCGCACTGCTGAGCAGCGCAAGACTTGGAGGAACGGGGCGAGCAAAGTGAGCGAGGCGAGCGACGCATCGTGGAGCTTGGTGGAGGTGTTACGGAACCAGAATCCACCTCATGGGCCTAGGCTGAACAAAGTGGACTGGGAGATGATGCAATACGAGGTCAAGCCACACTCCACCCTCAACAAGATGGCCTCATCTCGCCCTCCAGCCACCCTAGACAGCACCGCCACAGGCAGAATGACGCCACACTTTCCCCGTGTTCAGGTGTTCAGGGCTACAGGGGAGGGGCCATAATCTCAACAATCACAAGGATCACAAGCAACCAGGGTCGACAGGCGGGTAGGGGGGGGGAAGTATCTAGCAGGGGAGGAAGGGGGAAAGAGAAGGGGCAGGTCAGGGGAGTTCGGGAGAGCAAGAAGGTGGTACGGCTGCCACCTGCCTTACTTTACTAGCCACAAGCTAGAAGCTCGGAGCTGGACGCTGGGAAGGGGGAAGCGTGAAGGGGGAAGGGGGGGAAAGAGGTAAGGAGACACGCGAGGTCTTGGACTGGGGAATTTCAGGAGTTCGGTTCGTGGCATGTACAGCCAATGTTGGCGACTTTCACATCTGCGGGACCTCTTGGGCTGCCTCTTGTCGACTTTGCATTTCTGCCATTCTGCCATTCTGGCATCTTGACACCTTGCCATCTTGATATCCTGATATCTTGATATTCTGACATCTCGACATCTCGCCGTCTCGCCTCCTGTCGTCACTCTCCTGCAGGTCGATTGGATCAGCCGCACCCGCATCCGCAGCCCACTCGCCACCTGCAGCAAGAAATCCGCACATCATCACATCACTGGTCCGTCTGTCCAGACTGGAGGCGCGTTTTCCCGGGTTCACACGTC